CGGGGAGGGGGAAGCGTATCGGCCAGTGGGGAGCCAGACCGCTCCAGTTGGTCTCAGTTCCTCCACTTTCCCGAGCAACGCCGGGTAACTCCAGGTAGTTTTTTATTATTATTATATTATTATTCTGTTTGTATTCCCCTAGGGCTCTGTCTACATTGCAGGGTTTTTGTGCAAGAAGCTTTTTGCGGAAGAGATCTTCTGCAAAATCATCTTGAGCAAAAGTGCGTCCGCACCTCTAAAGCACATTGCAAAAGTGATGTGCTTTTGCGCAAGAGAGCGTCCATACTGCATGGACACTCTTTGGCAATCAGAACTTTCTTGCACTTCACAAAATGGCCATCAGTGCATCTGTGCTTTTTGTGATAGGCTCTTTTTGTGCAAGAAACCCCTGTTGAGCGTCCACATGCACCTTTTTGCTCAAGAACTCTTGCACAAAAAGGAGTTATGCCTTGTAGAAGGAGATATACCTACACCACAGAAAGCCCTCTGTTCTGATTGATGGTAGATTTTATTGTGCAGAAACATACTTGAGGTTTGGATGCTCTGCGGGTTTTTGCGCAAAAACCCTGTAGTGTAGACATAGCCTAGGTGTTTTTATGATACCTCATGTTTTCAGATCATTGCTCTTTACATGTTCCAGTTGCATAAATGGCCTGGCCATAAAGCCAACTTAGCCTTCCAACTGTGGATTCCTCTGGCGTGAGAGAATCCCCAGGCAGCATAAGTGGCATTCCCCATACCACAACCTATTTTATAGGGGAAGAGATAAGCAAGATGGGAATGCTATTACAGTCTAGCAATCCTTGGGCCCCAGAATGGCCCATTGGTGCTATAGCTGGTCAGGCATGAAAAGTAGCCCTGAAATAGCTGTAAGAATCACCATAAGACAATGTATCCTCTAGCTAATCAAAGGAGAGGTGGAATTCAAGAATGGTATAGATATATACCTCTGCCCTGCTCCCCTCCCCCTTCTAAGGCTGGCATGAAGCAAAACTCAACATTGTTAGTAATATCTGTCAAGTGGATGGGGTTTTATTTTTCATTGTTACCTTGGGCCATACAATTGAACTCCATAAAGTAACTGCTAATCATGAACTGCATGAAGCATAAAGAATCCAAAAAGTGGGTGTTACCTGGCTTCCTTATAGAATTGACTTGTACTGAATTCCAATGTGTTGTGTTTTGTTACACAACCGTTTCTGGTCACTTTATTCATTAACAGATTATGCTCCCTCATTTTTTGTTTCATCAGTTTTATT